CATTTAACAGTTCTGTTTTTGCGGCATATGGCATAGGAAATGTTCCAACCATATCACCATTTGGGTGTGTCTGAAAATAGGTGGTGTACCCCCAAATGGATCCAAATGGCATTTGTTTAGGGAAAGGATGATTAACCAGGGGATGGAATGATGGAAGGGGGCACCCTATTTGCCGACAACCCCGCATTGCTGCTTGGTTATATCCCAGTATATGACTCCCCAAAAAGAACGAAAAGTCGTATATCACCTATATATTTCTCACTTCCACCTTGAATGGCTGAAAAATCATGGTGTGTACAACCAAACCAACTATCAATTCGTATGAATTATGACCTCAAAAGTACAATTAGTGAGCCCCCCACCTATGTTTGCTTTCGAAAATCCAGAATCCATCGTTATATCCATCGTTTCATGGATTATATCCCCCATGAACATCCACAAAACATCCACAAACGAAGGTTTTCACAGGGGAACGCGCGTTTTCACGCGGAAAAAACATGAACGCCACACCACAAGAGTCGTTTCGGGATGGGGTACACACACGCGGAGGTTGACTAAGGCTACGAGTTTGTGCTTCTGGGATGCATTCAGATCGCCTCAGCTCAACTCTCGGTTGTGTTGCTCAGTTTCACCCCGTACTTTTGGTGCCCATGTCGCGTGCCAACGGCACCGGAGCCGATGCCCGTAAAAAGAAATTGAAGGAACTTGAAAAGCGAATGGATGTTGAAGACAGTTTCTCCGGGCTGCCTGAATCGATAACCTGGACCGATTTGAGCTGGAAACAGCTAAGTTTGTTCGGGTTGAACATTCCGTTTGGCTACTCTGTTTCAACTGGAGGCTGAAGGGTTCCCCAAAAGCGAACTCAGGGAAAGGGCAGGGCAAGCGCTGGCTCGGGAAATACGGGAGGCTTTGGAACGGGATGAACAGAAAGCGACCTTACAAGCCAAAAGTGATGAGTTATCCAACAACAAACAAAGGTGGCCCAATCGGGCGGAACGGGATGCGGTCCTACGCAGTTTGGGAATTGAAGCCCTTGTGGATTGGGTCAAGCAAGGGAACAATGCGCACAGTATCAGGTTGCAGCAAGGGGAACCCAGCCGTCTGGCCTCGGAACAAATTCGTAAAACTCTGACAGCTGCGCTCTCTATGTGCTTGGCAAGCTGGCCCCAGACAATCATACTAAGGTCATCGAAGATCCAAGTATATCAGGATCGTGGTCATTCCATGGCATTCCATGGCATTCCATGGTCATCCCTGGTGAACCGGGACTGCAAACACAACGGAGCAGCGACCAGGATCGTGGTCCCAAACAACGCATCAGAGGTAAGGGTAAGGGCAGAGGCAGGCAGAGGCAAGGGCCCGAACGGTGGTAAAGGAAAGAAAGGGGGCAAAGAGCCAAATGCGCCGGCACGAGCGGCACCGTGAATCACAGCAGGCAGGGGTAATGATATGTCAAGCACGACATGGGGGTCATGGGGCATGCGACGCCACCAAAATTAATAGATCAGATATGGAATCAGTTTGTTATCTTCTCTCTGTCCTCTTTCCTCCTCGGTTTCCTCGGTTTCCTCGGATCAAGGTGAGGATAACCCTACGTGGGTTCCTCCAGGTGAGTAGCGGTCTTATCGGGACCCTGCCCAGGTGATCGAAGTACCGAGTTTAACGAATTACGTGTTTATGTGACCACCTTCACTCCTATACCTGGATGCACCTTTGTTGAGTCGGTCGTTCTTTTCGTTCTCGTAATGACATGTGTTTCACTACCACCATCCCATGCACCTTCATGAGATTCTGGCTTCACGCCGTGCAAGGTCGACGCGTCCATGGCAAAATGGTTCCCCAATGGTATCCTATCCTATGGTATGGTGGCTACACTCGTCGCGATCATCATCATCATCATCATCATCATCAACATCATCAACATCAACATCCACAAACCAACCATAAACCAACCTTTTACCTGGAGTCTCCCCCAAACTTCTCATGGTCCTCACCTCACCCAGCATCCTTCGCCCACGTGCAGCGCGATCCGCCGGATCCGTCGCCGGATCCGTCAGCAGCTCGCGCAGCGCCTCGGCGCGATCCTCAGCAAACATCGGAGTCATGCTGGGGTCACCTGAATTTGGTGTGGAAGAATCTCGGATGAATTAATTGTATATGATATTTATGTATATATGTATATATATATATGTGTGTGTGAATAATAATAATAACAATAATAATAACAATAATAATAATATGATATAATATGATATAATATTTCTGTATATATATATATGTATGTATGTATGTATGTACGTACGTACGTATGTATGTATGTATGTATGTACTAGTATGTATATGTTACTGTACTATATGAAATGGAATTTGGAAAGAAGTAAGGGAGACAAGTACTTCAAAGCGAACGGAAGAAGTACTCCAAACTGGGCTTTAAGAGATGAGATATGATAGGATTCAATGCCACTTCGGATATGATCCAATTCCTACTTGCAGGATCATCAAATAAATGGGAATTGACTAGTAATCTTTGGACATCATTGGTACAATCCATGTGTTTATCGAGTTTATTGTCTGTACATGTTGTATGGGACAAATCCACGAATCAGGGACTTACTAAGCGGGGTTATTAGCTGGTTTCTTAATTGGAATGATCCACCAAGCATGGACCGCGTGCCGATATGACATGCGATACTTTCGGGCAAAAGTTGGAGGATTGAATCTTAAAAACCTGCAGGTTTATGGGTAAAAAAAGTTGAATGAAGGTGAATGGGGCGTTCAAATGATTGAAGCATATTGAAGCATATATAAGCACATTAAAACATTGTTGATGTGGTGTATGACCAAAACACGTCCCAGGATGTTTTCGCAGGCATCAGCATCCCCGTGGAGATGGCATCATCCATACCATCCTAACATTTAGCATGCCACTAAGTGGTTCGGAAGCACGATTGCAACCCTTTTAATGATAATGTGTGGGATATCCCAGTTGTTGAGCAGTTCTTATCCTGCTAACTGGGTAAAATATATCCGCTATCCGTCTACATGATCTATATGGGAGTTATCACTAGATCTCCAACTCCAAAAAAAAGGTTGGGCTGAACATCGGATACCCCAATCCCATTCTTGGGGCCCATACCTAGTGTTACAAACCCATACCCATTGTATCCGCCTGCTTTATCCAACCATTCTGCTATTCATAGGTAACAGCAGCATATCGTTTTAACATTTTGGCTGGTGAAATCCAACAGCATCCGAGCAGTGAGCAGTGTTCAAGTGTTCAAGAGCCTCATCCCTACTGGTTACCATTGAGATCAGAGTTCCACAATGTATCAAAATGTGCCATGAAATATCCACAAGAATCCATTGAGATCACTATAATCCACAGTTCATCATGAAATATTGGTTTATTGTGGATTGTGATGATCTCAATGTGGATGAAAATCCATGATGCCAAGTAGGTGAACCTGGAAAACCCCCGAAAAAAAGTCTAGCAGTCAACACATGTTACCATCAGAGTTCAAACGGTTTGATATCCCATTTTGAAAAGATCCCCACTATATATTTCTCATTAGTACATTTCCATTGCACTAGGTAGTTTCAAAAAAAGCGGGTTGGTGAGATTCCCGCTAGGTGTGAAATAACCAACTAGTTTTGGGTAACACCTATTATGGGTTAAAATCCACCCTGCTTTGTTCCGGGAAAAACACCAAGTGGCGACACGGGCAGCCGAAGCAAAACACCGACGTGGAACACGTTGAAAAAGAATCGACACAGCCATGGCGTGCAGGGCCGAACGACAAAGTACTTCAGATCAACATTCTGATCTGGTGCCGGTAGATGAATACATCGATATTGATATGATATTGATGTTTTATTTACATACTTAAATATATATAATACCATATAATACTGGTTGGTGGTATACCTACCCCTCTGAAAAATATGAAAGTCAGTTGGTATGATGAAATTCCATATATATATATATGGAAATATAAAAATCATGTTCCAAACCACCAACCAGAATATCATAAAATATCATATAACATCAACCGAGGTATGTCTGAAATATTCGGAATATCAACCAGTTGCTGGACAAGAGTTCTGACTGCGCTCTGCACAGCGAAAGGTGACCCAGGTGACACCCATGAATCCTACAGGATGAGGCCCCCAGTTGAGCTCGCGTTCAGTTGCCTTATTTTTGTGGCGAAAAAACGATGGTTTATGGTAGAGTAGATATAACGAACTAGTTAATGGGGGTTATAATGGTTTATAAACCAACAAACATAACTACTATGTGGATACACTGGATTTCCATTTTTTGGTAGTATATAATTATCCTATATAACCAACAATTGTGATGTTAAGGTGTCTCACAATGGGATAACCACAACATTGCATTTCGAAAGCGAACATATTGGAAAATAGTCTAATCACTGGATTTTGGCATACACCATTTTCTGACAAACCCTTATTCTATTCAAACATCAGAACCGACTCTAGAGTACTAACCGTCTGCGTCCACTCCCTCAATGCCAGAGACACGGAGCATTTCTCCATCTGTTCCCCCTTGTAAGACAGTTCAGCTCCCATGTTTTGTATGGCTATCACAGTAAACTCACTGTGATATTCTTAAACTATCACAAACTCCCACGATATTCCTTTTGAAATCGGGGGGAATCCCATGAAATACCATAAAGTGATTGGTTTTATTCGAAGAATACTGTAATGGGGATATGATTAGACTCAAATTAAGGAATAGCATTCATGTCCATGGATAGTTCCCAAGAATCAACGGTTGGTTTCATCCCAATATCATTCATGTTGTTGCTTAACTTCTCAAGTAACTCCCATAAAACTATATAGACACCCCCAAAACTTGTGGGAAAGTCTTTCCAGGATCGTATATTATGTAGCTGTTCTTCCATATTTTCCAGGTTTCCAACTTGTCTATACTTTTTTTACCTATTTTGGGGTTGCTATAAACTGTCATGAACCCACGCCTCCTCTTGGCATCCACAGATGGCGCCGGCGACGCTTGCAGCGTCACTGGTGTGACCGGCGCAGCCGGCGGCGTGTCGGCAGTCAAAAGGCCGAAGGGGTCCAGGAGGCCCAGCCAGGTGTTGTCTTCCACCTGGAAGCAACCAGACCAGTATGGTTCCAGCCACGTAGGAAATGGGGAAATGATATGAAATGATCCCATAACTATCCATAACTACACTCCTCAAAATTCACATAGACCCGCCAAAAGGGTTGGAAGATTACTTTCCACTAAAAATCATGTTTTCAGGGTCTATATGAAAATTTGGAAGGTAACAATCATCATCCCCGATTCCCTACGGGTTGTATTGGTGCATGTCCCATTGGTTGAAAATCACCTTAAATTCTTCATTTTTTGTTTACCTCCAACCACCAGTGATGTTGCCTTGGATAACCTGTTTGCGGGTGCACACAAGTTTGTGTAACATCTAACATTCTGTACCCAAGTGTAGAGGGAATATCCCCAGGCACTTTTTTCGGGTAAACCAATGTGGTAAACCCAAAAATCTATCATCCCAAATTCGACCAGAAATAGTTTCTATTCCACAACTATGACCCTCTGCTTATTTATATCACATATAGCTTGCAAAAGGACTCGCTTTTAGCTAATCTATATTGATGTTTGATGATTTCCCCAACTCGAAAAAAATTGCTGATGTTTCAGTTCGCGAAAACTTTTTTCTCAACCACCAGGCTAGAACCATCCCAAAAAAAATGGTGCTTTTTGGTCTCCGGAACGATGGAGCACCGGCCACACCTCCTGTTCGGCTGTGACGTAGCGCAGGGCCTCGCGCAAGGTGTTCTTCGCTGCGCGCTGCAGCGTCCAGTCACAGGCGCGCTCCACCTGCGTGTTGCGCGTTTTGGGGACCCGTGGGGGTGACGGTGGTGTTTTGGGTTGGGTGTTTTTGGCAACCGTGGGGAATATATACCATGGAGATCAAGGAAAATCAATGACAATAAATGAACATAATCTATACGTATATAAATCTTTATGAATGGAAAACAATGAAACTATCGAAGAATTCAATACTCTGTCAAGGACAATATATTTCGAAAATCAATGAACATCATCTAAAAATGGTGGACAAACTCTGGATTTCCCTGTGATGTTTGTTCGTCTATCTTATGTTAAAGTGTTATAAACCATGGAGAATCAATATGGAAAATCATCTAAATAAATTGTGGATTGTGGATTTCCCCGAAAAAAAATGGCAATTGTTCGTTGGTTGTGCAATTGTGCAACAAAAACCTTATAGTTTGGTACATCAACCACCATCTTGTACACCCAGTGACACGAGAACCACCGAGATCCGTTTAAATTTGAGGAATTCGCCACCGGAGATTTCCCACACTTTGATTGGAGGCTGGTGTATGAGATCATGTTTTGGAGATTATGTCTAGATGCATATGAATGTAATATAATGTAATATCATGATATATATTGATATATCATGTAATTTGCAAACCAATATAGATCTCGTGCATTCTCGTTCTGCATGATCATTCGCGTATCTTTCCTTCGAACGTTGGCTTTGGGCTGGGTAGGGTGACCCTGGTGGGACCTGGAATTTAACGATCACATCCGGAGCTTGGAATTTTTTGGGGCCCCTGAGCTTCGTGAAATCTATTGGGGAGGAAACATCGACAAGCAATGTCGTAGTGTGAAGAGACCTGCGACTGAATGCGACAAATCCGAATCCCATACCATGTTGATATCTGATAACTCTCATTTCATCCCAACAGTGTCGGACATTGCAGGAAGATGCTTGTCAGATTGTAGTAAACCAATGCATATGCTACCATCGGGTTATGACTAACATAGCCATGGAAAATCCCCATTTTTAATAGGTAAACCATCTATAAATGGGCCATCTATACCATGGCAAACTGTTAGTCATAACCAGAGGGTATATCAAACTCTTCAGCAAAAGGCTCCAGTATGACCCCGTTGCCAACGGTGGTACTCGATCAGACTATGACTGAACACATCTCAAAATCCTCGATTTGATCAGGGATTCTAGGTCACCACCCAGTCAGAACCAAAGATCATCGGCGATTCGGGCCATCCCAGATGTCAGGATCCATCATTTCTGTATCTTTGTTTGCCATAAGTTCCAGATACATGTTGAAGATTAAATCTAGGCCCTAAATGCTTGAGTTTCTATTCATCTTTATAGTTTTGACATGTTTTGACCAAAGACTTCTGAGATTTTCTCCGTTGGGCTAGACTACACCTGCATACACATGCTTTCATCCAATGGATTGAGTTTCATCCACACCTGATCCTCAAAGGAGCTATAGCTTAAGCTTTTGGTGTAGTCGTGCACCTGCAGCCCGATGATCAAATTATCATCCCATTCTTGGTCTGGAAACAGCAAAGATACGTTGGGATGATATCTGGTACTTTGCTGGTAAACTGATGGATGATATCTGGCAACTTGGTGAACAAACTCTAAGAGCTAAAGTTGGAATGAAAATCAGCTTTTATGTTGGGATAAACTGTTTTACAGGGCTATTTTGCTGATTATACAACTGTAAGACAAAGAAGATGTAAAACATGGTAAAACCATGTTCCAGGATGCCAAAACTGGTAGTTTGTCGGACTGCCATGTGAACGTGAAATGATGTGGAGCCACAAAATATAACACACCGTGTCTTTTTTCGGAATAACTGTGTCAAATTTAAGGTATGTCCAAGTGTTTTTTGGGGTGATGTCCATTTTTTGACCCCGTTTCAAAAATTGTTTAATTGTTGGCTACTGGGATGTTGGCCAACATTGTATATGGAACTATGAACAATGAACAACCCCCATTGTGAATCTTTAGAGGCATACCACAATTCCATCACAAACTGCGACCCAACAAACCAAATGAAGGCACGCCAACTGTGACGTCAATGAACACCCCCATTGAGTTGGCTTCACCAGGTTCACCACATTGAGTTTGCCCAAAAACAGGATACAGTACCCTCTTCCATCCATTGGTGAACCACCATTTCCCTGTCGTCGTTTTCCCCATGATACAAGCGATTCATAAAATGACCGCAGCAACGTCATCATTGGATTTTCCCTCAAATTCTCACCCCAAATCTTCGGAAAAATCCCATGGATTATCCCCATGTCATATTCTGCTTGGTGGTGCAATCACCATCTTGAAAAATATGAGTTAGTCAATGGGGTTGGGATGACATCCCATATATGAAATGGAAAATAAAAGTCATGTTTGAAACCACCAACCAGTATTGGTTGATTAGTCATATCCATTCATATCTCATGTCCAATCCCCGAAAATAGCCATGGAATTTCTTGGTGCCAGGTGGAATCCCCACCTCCGGGAGCAAACACTTCAGTTCGGGCACCTGGCGTAGCAAGCACTTCGAGAAGGGGAAAATGCACCGCTTCAAACAGTCGAATGCATCAGTGTGTGTGTATATATATATACATATAGGGATAAATCATTTATCGGTATATCATTATTTAAAAAAAAAAAACACATTCATCATCCATATATCATATATCGTGGATGTTCAGTTTATCCATTTCCCCACCGTCACTGGCTGCACCTTCACCAGACACTCCCAGCCCGGCGGCTTTTCGCGATCCGTGCCCAGCACATGCAGAGCTGCTTTGCAGCTGGCGACCACCTCTCCAAATGTTGGGAGAAATCCTACAGCAGTGGGTACTCTCTGGTAAACTAACATGGCTATTGAAAATGGTGATTTATAGTTGATTTACCCGTTAAAAAATTGTGATTTTCCATAGTTGTATGTATGTTTACCAGAGGGTAGATGATTTATCCTACAGATCCCATGATTGACATTGTTTCATAGGAATCCCTTAAGAGTTACCCTGCCTGGTGCAGGATTTGGAAAAACCATCCACAGTAATTATGTTATATAACTTGTTGTGCGTGGAAAAAAAAGGAGTGGAAAACCACACGAAGATGATTAGCAGCACTTGGCTTGGATCTCTCCATGATTTTTCGCAAGAGAAAAGACGAATCAAACGTTTTTTTTTACTCCGAAAAACTGGGACGTGTCAGACCAACCTCTGCATTAGGAACGCGAAGCGCCTGCCAAACTATATCATTAATTTTCCTACAAGTTCAAAAATATCAAAACAATGGGGTGAATTGACCATTTAATTGACCAAGAAACCATCTGGTCCATGTTTGTCTGACGGGATTCATTGCTCAACATCCTCAACCGGTGAAAACAATATTCATCAAAACTGCATATCCATCCCACAACCCGCCCATGTTTGCCAGTCATCATTTTCCAGGGAAAGGACCTTTCTTACATAAACCCACATAGTTTCATGGCAATAAAACCTCTCCCGTATGACTCCAAACAGGACCCATCCACTTCTGCTGCATCCCCATGTCATCCACTACATCCCATTCCAATCATATATCATTCTCATCGTTCCCCACCAAAATGGATGGTTTTTTCCCCAAAATGGATGGGTTTTAATATGTGTTATACCCCATGGCCCACCTGTTGCCATCGCGCTTCCCCCAGCGCCAGGAACACCGCGTTGGGCACGAAGAGGCCAGGCGCGTCGATTTCTGGGGTCCGCCCAAAAGCGAAGCCGAAGTCCACACGAAAGAGCCGCCCGTCGCGGCCTAGGCGATGTGGCACAGATTTCACAGACATAGGTAGGTAAGTAGGTAGGTAGCGAGGTATATATGGTATGTGTATACAGTACATACATATATATATATATGTATATATGTATATATATATATATATATATATGGTATGTATTACTGTATAATTATGATGTGTACTGTATGTTCTCATTTCGTTGCCAAAGTTGAGTACTTTGCCAAGCTTCGCAGCATCAAATTGTCGTCATGCCCGTCCCGGATCCCTGAGATCGCGGAAACATCCCCAATGTATGGCTACATTTGGGAGATGACAACTGGTTGGTGGTATACAATGGATTTTATATGATAAATTATGGATTGTGGATAGATAAATTAATATAAATTATATCTATACTGGTTGGTGGTTGAGCCTACCCCTCTGAAAAATGATGGGCTTCGTGAGTTGGGATGATGACATTCCCAACTAAATGGAAAGTCATAAATTTCCATGGTTCCAACCAAGCAGATAATCCGTTGGAATTGGGAAGACCCTACTTGCAGACATAGCAACCACCAAAAAGGAGATAAAAAAATTATCAAAAGCAAAGCATCCTATCAAAAACAGTGGTCAACGACTCTATCTTTTTGCTGGTCGCTTTTTTGCTGTCAGTGGATTAGTGGGAAATGCTGGGATCCTGCAGATGTTCCTTCGGTTCAAAGTGATGGATGAAAGAAAAAAAACGCACCCTTTTTTTGTAAACTAAGGTGATATTTGAACACTAGCTTCACATAGCTTCACCATACCATGAAAATTGGTTAGATATAATTCACAAGGAATATGCAACACTCGGATTGGGTTCCAAAAACCCTGTTCTCATTGTCTTGGGCTCGCCTTTGCGCGTGTGGGTCCATTTTCACTGGACCTTCGCCGGAATGGGCTATATTTTTTTTATGTCAGGGCATTCTTGGCAAACCGCTCATGAACATGAGTGTTCTTAGTGTTCTTTTATAATCAACATTAATATGAACTCAGGCTTAGTGAATCGAAATTCAGAATCCCCAAGCAAATGTTTACTATGTCCATTGCGAGAGAACCCAATCTTGATGCTGCCCGTGGAGGAATGGGGGAAGGGGTTCTATCCAGTTGCCAACCAGCAATGAATGCCAAATATTCGTGGTAGTTAATCAGCAGCAAATGGATGCTTTATCGCCCATTATTGATTGGCACCTTCGACACAGTTTCCTTTCTCAAGTTAGAGCCCTTTATTTTTCACCAGAAAGGGTGATATCCGTTAAAACCCAGCATAATATCCTTCTACTTTCCCACTTGCAATGGCTTGCACCGGGATATTCACCTTGTCTTCAACAGTTTCCATCATTCATGTTGTTTCAAACGCCCTGAGAATACCCGTGGAAATACCCAGATACTAACCCCAAGCTTTCAAGTTCAGATCCACAAATCATGTGATTTTTTTCTGACCCAACTTTTTTCATCATCGCCCCATGGGCCCATGGGCCCAACCACCACCAACCAGGCCACCCAAGATATAGCTGGAGGTGAGGTAAGCACAGACACTGGCCGCGAGGCGGTCCAGTTTCCGCGCGTCCTGATGACTTCTACTCGGCGTCGTCCCATGGGAAAAGTCCCAGCCGGGAAAAGTCCCAGAGGTCAACTTGTCGTGAAAATCATGGGGATATTAGTGATGTATATATATATATATGATTATATATGTATATATAATCCCCAAGAAACCAGGTAGTTGACGAAGCTAGCCTACTTACCAATCAACAGTGGGATTTTCTAATGGCTCTTTTTTTGTGTTGCAAATGAATATTCCAATAGTGGACCCCAATGAATAGATCCACAAATCCCATCACCATTGCAACACGCGGCGTCGGTATTCGGATCCATGAGGAAAATGAATTGCAATATTAGGGAATATGGTTAGGATTTTTTTTCCGATACTATTGGAAATCCCATCCCCAATTTCTATGAATTATTCTATGGTCCCAGTATGTCCCAGTCATATTAGTGACCTCTCATCCCACGCCCCTTGGGGTCCCCTCGAGGTCCGTGCGGTGCCCATCACAAGGATTTCTGTCTGGATAAATTAGATAGCAAAAACCAGGGGTATAACTGGTATAACTTAAGTTTAGGTCTATCTTTAGATCTGGGCGATTTCTTGAAATAAAACCGAACTCAAGTCCTCTCAAAAAACAAACCACGCAAACTCCCTACTGCACAGTTGCCTATGAGAATTCACGCGGTTTCCTTCATTTGTTCACATTAAAATTGTCCTGAACATGAATCCTATTCACATCCATTAACTAGTTCGATAGTTATCATGTCTACACTTATGGCCCGAAATACCAGTTATAAATCTGTAAATCAGCCCATTTATGGTTAGTTCTAACATGTACAGAAACATGTTATAACCCCATAAAATGACCCTAAAAATCACTGGTGCCCTGAGATGTCTCCAGGACGCTCCTGATTCAACGCTCGCAGGACGCGCCACTGCCGTTCGTTGAAGGGAACTCCCTCGGAGAGTTCTCGGAGCGTGCGACTTTCAGAGACCACCTAAAGCGACGGAGATTTTTCGGCACTTGGCGAAGTGGAAAATCACCAACCCTCTGGTAAACTAATAACATAGCAGCTATTGAAAATTACCATTTATAGTGGATTTTCCCATTAAAAATGGTGATGTTCCATAGCTATGTTAAATTACCAGAGGGAAATTG